CGCCGCCGCCAGTGCCGTCGACGTCGTCGTTGTCGTCGTCGTCGTCGTCGTCGGCGTCGTCGTCGTCGTCGTCCGTCGTCGTCGTCGTCGTCCTCCTCCTCCTCCTCCTCCGCCTCCTCCTCCTCCTCCTCCTTCTCCTCCTCCTCCTCCTCCTCCTCCACCTCCTCCTCCTCCCCCCCATCCCATCTGGGGGGGCGGGCCCGAGGACCCTGGGACCCATCCCATCTGGGGGGGGGGAGGGGGGCCCGTGGGCCTGGAGCCCACGATCATGTATGATCATCGGCGCCACTCCTCCCGACAACTAACTCCCCAGAGGCATCGCTTCTGGATTGGGCGGGTGGGGGCACGCGCAGCGTCAAGAACTAGCCCTGCCCTGACGAGGCATTCGCGCGCTCCAACGACATGTGCGACGCAGGGATTTATCCATATCCACCGCCTGGGAACCGACGTCCTGGTGCCCCAGCGGGCAGTGGATATGGATATATTTCGGCCCCCTGGGACCCGAATATGTCCATATCCACCGCCTGCCGAGGCTCCGAAAACTGACCCTCCAGGCCGTGGAGATGGATAAATTCCCGCATTGGAACATGGCCCCTCGGATGCCGACGCCACCCTGCAGACGATGCCGTACGTAGCCAGCTTTTTACGCTCCACCCTAAAGCTTTGGAATCAGCAGAGCACAGGTGGACGACGCACGGCACGGTCTCTTGGCAGCTGAAGCTACTGGAGTGGCCGGCCACTGGAAGCGGCTCCGGCTCCCGGCGCACCCATGCGGCGGAGGCTTCGATCGATCGTCGACATCCCACGGCAAGTTCTGCCTTAAAAAATCCGCGCCACACATACGTACGAGCACACGATTTCGGGGCAGGTGGAGCCATCTCCCATGGGCAAAGCGAGGGGGAACGAGCAGCGAAACCGACGTTGGACGTTGCCAGCTCAGCTCTTCGCCGCGGCGGCGATCTTCATGTCCTGGACCTCCCGCCTCAGCATGTCGAGCTCCATCTGCTGCTTGTCCATCTGGCGCTCGTCCTGGCGCTGCTGGTTCGAGAGCATCTGGTCGGTGCTGGACGGGCCGCGGGCGCCGCCCCCCATCATGGCGTTGCTGATCATGTTGCCGGCCACGTTGCCGACGACGTTGCCCACGATCATCTCGCCCATGGAGGGGCCCGCCACGACGGGCGGCGCCATCATGACGGGCGCTGGCTGCTGCACGATCACCGTCCTGTTCACCACCGTCTTGTTCACCGTGGTGGACGAGGACGGCGCCGCCGCGGGCGCCGGCGGCGCCGGGCGGCTCTTCTGCTGGGAGGGGGCCGTGCCGCCCATCCGGCCGCCCATCTTCGCCGCCTTGGCCTCGGCCAGCGGCACGAGCGCCACCACCAGGGCCGCCAGCAGGGACAGCGCCGCGCCCCCGAGCTCGGCTGGGGCCGGCGCCGGGGCCTCCGAGCTCGGCAGCGACGAGGGCGCCGCGCCGCCGCGGAGGGCCCCGGGGCCGGCACCGGCGCCCCGGGCGACGGGGCCGACGAAGGCCGGGGCGGCCAGCGCGAAGAGCGCGGCGGCGGCCAGGGCGGCCGCGAGGCCCGCGCAGCGCCGTCCCGCCATCGCGACGCCGGCTGGAGACAGAAGCGCGGGCGAAGAGAGGCGCTCCGGCGCCTGGGGCCGCAAGGGGATCCAGAAAATGGCTGCGGAGGCCACCACGGTGGAGGCCCTGGCGAGACGAGGAGGCGGGGGGAGACAGGGGGCGAGGAGGTCGAGAACGGGGGAGGTGGCCCTGGGCTGGTTCCACGGTGTAGGGAGGCACGCTGGAGAGATACGGCCTCAGATGCAAAGCCAAGCGGTCGCCACAGCGTGCGCCTGCTCCAAGTCCCCATCTCGGGGCGCTCTGAGGCAGAGGTTGCAATGGCTCCTGAATTCCTCGTCCCGGCCAGCACCGCCCATCACACGCAGCACGACATACCTGCCCTGGCGCCTTAAGACCCTCGCAGATCGACCTCGGCACGAGCGACCCCGCCGACAGGCAGGGCCGGGCACCCCTCTCCTCCTACTCCTCCTCCTCCTCCTCCTCCTCCTCCTCCTCCTCCTCCTCCTCCTCCTGCCCTCCGCCTCCTCCTCCTCCTCCTCCTCCTCCCCCTCCTTTCCTCCTCCTCCTCCTCCTCCCTCCTCTCTCCCTCCCCCTCCTCCTCCTCCTCCTCCCTCCTCCTCCCCCCTCCTCCTCCTGCTCTCTACCCCTCCGCTCCGCCCTCCTCCCCCCAACTGCCTCTTCCCTCCCCTTCCCCTCGACTCCAATCCTCGATCCCTCCCCCTCCCCTCCCCCGAAGAACCGCCTCCAGTCCCTTCCCCTCCGCTCTGGGCGCGCACGAGCGCAAGCGCCTTCCCAGCTCGTCACGAACAGAATCGCCAGATAGCGGAGCGAAGAAGCGCGCGGCACGGCAGCGTGACAAGAGCCTGCAGCATCGACTACGTGGCTGGCGTCCCTTCCCTTCTTGGCCAGCCATCTGTCAGAATGGATTAAAGCTCTGATATGACTGATGACTGACATTCAGCAGGGGGTGACGAACGAAAATGCATCACATCGCCACAGTTCCGTAGTACACGAATGGAAGCAGCAGCTAATGTAGCCCCTTCGACAACACATGCGAGAAGGAAAACGGTGAGCATGGCTCCTTGTTCTCCTGCGCGTCAGAATCACACATGTGTGCTCTGCACAAACCACTGCACTCTGGGTGCAGTTGGCTTAGTGGGAGATCCCGATTTCAACCCATTGCCTCACTTTCGGAAACGAATTTACCCCTCCCCGCACCTCCTTCGAGGTCGGAGCCGATGGTTCGCGAGCGGACAGATCGTTCAAAATTGCCCAAGGTGGCTCCAAATAAACGGAGACGCCATCCAAGATGCCACTAGCTAGGTAGCCCAAGATGGCTAAGGAGAGCGCAAAAGGACGTCCAGCATGCGTCCAACAGGCCCCAGCACGTCCCCAAAGTGGCTCCAAGTGGCCACTCAGCGTCCCAAGGCAAACTCCTTCAAATCGATCTAAGCTCAAAAGCTTCCAACAATCTCGCCGTTTCGTTTTTCCATGGACTTCTGGGGTCCCAAGATGGGCTACAAGACGATCCCAAAGGCACCCAAGAGCGTCCCAAGAGACGACTGCTCGGGCTCCGACTGGGGGGGGAGAGGGGGCGAATTAGCACCGCCTTTGTTGATGTGTTATCGGTGGCCTCCAAAGTCTTCCACGAGGGACCAACAGAGCCCCAAAGTCACACCAGTAGGACCCCCCATGTGGCGCCAAGAGGCCTCCGAAAGGCTCCCAAAGCTCTATATATGTTTTCAATTGTGGACCCCCTCTGCGTCAGTGTGCTCATCTACTCCCCTCCTCCCGGGAGGGGGGCGCCGGCATGGGGGACTGGCTCAGGGTGGGAACAATGACCCGGAATCGACGATACAGCGCCGATAGATCGCCGATAGATCGGCGAGACATCGGCGATAGATCGGCGATGGTCGTAGGGAAACCCAACGTTCCTGGGCGGGGTGGGCTATCAGGCTCCTAGCGGCGATGCATGGGCGACTTGGGGACGATGAACCCCCCTGACACTTTCCCGGGAGAAATACTCTGGGGAGTTTGTACACCAGTCAGCAGAACCTCATGAAAACTGAGTTGCGATGCAGGAAAGAAGTTCTACTACACAGCATTCCATACACTGGATCCCCAAGCGCGACGGCGGGCAAATGCGGCAGCGCATCTGGACCACTGCAGATCAGGAACTCGTGTCCTCAAACGGCTACGGAAGACGAGTACCAAGAGTGTATATATATGTATATATGTATATGTATCTTGATTTATCTATATCTATACGTAGTATATATAGAAAGAGAGAGATACACACCCAAAGAATATGACAACGAAGCGTCACGGAAAGCAAACACGGCACCGAGACGCAGCGCAGACTCGACCACGTACCAAAGAAAGCACGCACCTGCAAGGCAGCCGGCTGGGCAGGGCACAACGATCGGCCAGACTTGGAGGCGGCTGGGGGGCCTGCACGCGGTGGGGACCTCGAGAACGTCTGCCCAGAAGGGAAGCTGAGGGCACATCCGCTCAAACTCGGTCCCCAGACCCCTCCAGGGGACGGCCTGGTGCAGCTGCTCCCCCTGCATCCGTTGGACGGTCCCCGGGGCCCGGAAACGGCCCCTGGAGACCGAAACAGCACAGAAAACGCTCTCGAGTCCAGAATCTCGAACCTCGCCCCCCCCTTGCTTGCCAAAGCCATCAATGCTGTCGGGGATCTTCTGAGAGCCAGCAATGCTGTCGGGGATCTTCTGACCCGGGTCAATCCAGACCCGGGTCCGTCAGGCCTTGCAGAATCCTGCAAGATCCTGCACCCAAACCCGGGTCAATGCGAAAGATCCTGCAAAAATCCTGCAAAATCCTGCAAGATCCTGCACCCAAACCCGGGTCAGTGCGACCCTGGCCCTGCAAGATCCTCCAAAAGATCGGGCGCTCTGGCTGACCCCCGCTTGCATCGACCCCCGTCTCAAGGCTCCCGATGCTGGGCCATCTCCGACCCCCAGACAGGGCTGCTCCCTCTGACTACCTACCAGCCCACCCCAACCCAACCCGAAGACCCGAATGTGACCCGAATTTCGGGTTGGGAGGGGGTACGGGTTCAATGTGTTTTTTTCTATGTTCCCCGACCCCCTCCCCCCTGGAAGTGGAGGGCAAACTGAGGCCTTCGGGTCCCAGACACGCGACGTCCTGATTTTTTCAGGACGGCGTCCCCGGAAGTCCAGACCCTTTCCCCGGGGCTGGTTTTTCATCCTGAGTCGTTTGTTGACAGTCCCGAGGCCCGGAAAGGGCCCCCAGAGGCCGAAAATGCAGAAAAACTTGCCGTCCTGATTTTTTACGACGCGATCATGTCTGGGGTTGGGTTGGGGTGGTTTGGTGGGTGGTCCGCCTCCGCCCCCCGAGAGCCCTGGCCCACCCGCCGCGGCCGAGGCGGGGGCGCCTCTACAGCCCGGGCTTGTACGCGTGCGACGCGCAGCAGGCCCTGGCGGGCAGCACGTACCTCCCCCGCAGCCCGCATCGCCGCGCCCTCCAGACCGGCGAGGGCAGACCGTGGCTTGGAGGCCCAGGGGTTGGCACCCCCCCCACACAACACACACACACACACCAGCACTTTCACGGGCGAAGGACGGCATGGCAGAAATGTCTTCGACGTCGGGGGCGCCTGCCCCTGAGCGGCTGGATATTTGTTGTTATACCTTTGCGCTCGCACCGTAAGGGTAGTAGAAACGCTCCAGCCGCCCAGGGACAGGCGCCCCAGACAGCGAAAAAGTGTATGCCATACCGTTCTTCGCTCGTGAAGCACTGAGGGGCGCTTCCACGTGGTGAAGCTGATCCTGGATGTTGGTGTTGGTGGTAATTTCCCGGCCGCCTGAGAAGCCACCAAGCTTGCCAGCATCATCTAGATCGGGATCAGTTTCGCTCAGCGGAGGCAACCACCGAGATCGGTGTCGCTGACAATCTCTGCGCCTGCCCTGGCCGCGTCTCGCCGAAGCAAGCCTCGGCACCCCAGGGCAAGTGGCTGCTGAGGGCCAGTCGATGCTACAGTCATCGGCCTGACCTGAGGCACGATAAACAAGGTAGCGGAACGCATGTGCAGACCCAAGGAACGGCCGAGCCCCATTTTGAAAAGCGAGTGCTGCTTATGCAAGCCGCTCGCTGTGGAGCCTCGGAGCTGGCGCCCAGCCACCCAGCCGCCGCACATCATCAGGACAGAGGGTACAGGACACCTGGGCGTCCAAGATTCAAGGGGCCCCAGGACACACAAATCAATACACACAAATGAAAATAGTCCCCAGATTTCCACATATTTTCTGGGTTTCTGTCTTCCCCCCCACGTCCCGGATTTTCCCATATGCTCTGAGGATCGACGATTAATTGTGTCTGTGTGTTTCTCTTCCTCCTGAATCATGAGGATAGAGGGTGCAGGACACTTGGGCGTCCAAGATGCTGCAGAGGCGTCGGTGACGCACGTCGACCCTCATGGTGCAGGATGGCCGAAAAGGCGAGAATGCAACGGCATCCCTGGGAGAAGACGTCCTCGTGGGTGGAAGCATCCTTTTGTGTGCGATGGGGAACGCTTGCTCAGCTTGTCACTGCGGCGGCCCCCGCGCCATGCTATGCCCTCCAAGCTGATAGCGTGTCACCCTGCTTCGCGAGACCGAAGGCTGAGAAAAGCTCGGGACGTTGATGCCTGGGGACTGGGACGTGCCTGGCGTGTGGCGCCGAAGCGCGCTAAGGCCCAACAGGCGTTGCCACACGCTAAGCAAGCGTTCCTTATCGTGTATGCTGAATTCGGGAGCGTCCAGCGTCAAAGAGGGGGACGTCCAAGAGGGGGGTCGCAAACCACTGCCCGAGGCGCTTGCGAGGCCCGAGGGGGGGACCAGGGAACGTGCTGAAAGAAGAGAAGGGGCCATGAAATCGGGGCAGATATCATGGCCCCGGCCATGATATCCACCACCACCCTAGTCATCACCCCCCTCTTTCGACAAGCGCGTTCCACTACTCGCAAAGTTGCTACTCGCAAATGGTCAAGATCCGCCACGGGGGAGGCACGCTCCAGACATGTTCTTTCCAGACGTTTGCGAGTAGGAGTGTTGCGAGTAGTGGAACGCGCTCGGCGACTCTTGGCCGCCCCCGAACAGGTGGTGGGCGACCAGGGCAGAGGCAAGCGAGCCTCGATGCTCGACCGCGCGCCGACCTCCCCCCCGCTCCCTCCCCGCCAGACGAGGCCGACGAAGAGCAGGACGTTGCCGACCCAACTTGCCGGGGGGGGGGGGGGGCGCTGGCTGAAGCTCAGGGCCGGGCCCAGCAGCAAGAGCAGGAGCTGAGAGAGCGGCCCGACTCCTCCTCCTCCTCCTCCTCCTCCTCCTCCTCCTCCTCCTCCTCCTCCTGCTCCTCCTCTTCTCCTCCCCGCCTCGCCTCGCTCCCCCGGAACTCCGACGCCTTGGTTTCTGGTGCACGCGGTCACCCAGAGCTCTAGACCCTCTGCCCGGAGACTGGCTTGTGGACGGCCCCGGAGCCAGGAAGGGCCACCCCCCGAGGCCAAGAGAAATGACCAAGACCCTTCGGCAGTGATCCTGTCACGGCGCGAGAGGACGTCTGAGCCCTCCACTCGAGGAGGAGGAGGAGGAGGAGGTAAGAGGAGGAGGTAAGAGAAGGAGGTAAGAGAAGGAGGAGGAGGAGGAGGAGGAGGAGAAGAATGAAGAGGGAGGACGAGGAGGAGGAGGAGGAGGAGGAGCTTCCCTCCTCCCACCCCTCCAAACCTGGCGTCGCCGGCCCTCCCCTGGCCTCCCAGGATCGCCCCCCTGGTTCCCCTCAGCTTCCCCTCCGACTTCCCTGCCCCCACCCCTCCCTCCGCCTTGCCCTCCTGCCCTTCGACACCAGGGCGCGAATGCTGCAGGAGGACGAGGAGGACGAAGAGGACGAGGAGAAGAGGACGACGAGGAGGACAAGGAGGAGAGGAGGACGAGGAGGAAGTCCTGGAGTCCTCGAATCCCTGGATATGTGGAACTTATACTCAAAGACAAGACGCGCTATACTTCGTCTTCTTTGGACGAGCCTGTCCGTGTTCGATTCGGGTTCCCAACGCAAGCGAGTGGTCGTCCATCGTCGATCACACTGGATCCCTGCTGCACTAGAACTGGTCGCAGGTCGTAGGTTTGACTGGAGTGAGAAGATACTGAACAACACGAAGCATAACAGGCTGACGCGCTGCGTTGACATGGCAGCCCCCAGCGGCCCACTATCTTAGAGTTGGCGATCAGCTCTCGCCCTCTGGGCCCCTCTTCAGAGGGCCACATGCAGGGTGGATGCGGGCACATATGCCCTGAGCATCCACCCGTCGCCCGTCTTCCCCGCAGGGTCACGTGGGTTTGGAGACGCAATAAACATCGCTGCTAGAGTTATGTCGGGCGCGTCTCCCTACAGGGGGATTTTCGACGAAAGATTAAAAATACCCCCAACAAAAGTACCCCAAAAAGGTCAAAAAATACTCCAAAAATAATCCCCAGGCTATTGTTTGACTATTTTGGGACTATCTTTGGGGCATTTTTAATTTTTCGTCGAAGATCCCCCTGTAGGGGGACAGGCCCGACTTAATGCTAGAGGGTCCCCACCGCCCGTTCCACCATGTACCTCGCGTCTGGTACTGAGCCGGGCGGCGGAACGGGGAGGAGGAGGAGGAGGAGGAGGAGGAGGAGGAGGAGAAGGAGGAGGAGGAGGAGGAGGAGGAGGAGGAGGAGGAGAGGGAGGAGGGCGCGGGGAATCCTGCCTCCACTGTCGCGCCACAGGTGTCCTCGCCCGGCCTGGCCCGCCACCCCGGAGAGCCCAGGACCGAACCGATGCGTCGGATCGGCGATCGAGACGCCTCGGATCGGCGGACGTCGGCAGCCGAGTCGGGAAAATAGGGGCCAGATGCGAACCCGATCCCTACCCCCCACGATTTCTGAGGGGCATCCTGGGCCATTTTGGGTGCATCTTGAGCCGTCTGGTAAATATCTGGCGGCCATCTCGGGCTTTTTGGCCCCTGGTGTAGGAATTTGGCGGACTTTTGCGTGTCAGCCCCGCCCAGACAACGGAGGGTACAGGCGGAGCAGTAGGGGGCCACATGTGAACCCGACCCCTACCCCCCACGATTTCTGCGGGGGAGGGTGGGGTTCACTTCGCTCGGGAGCTCCCGAGCGAAGTGAACCACACCCGTCCCCCTCAGAAATCGTGGGGGGTAGGGATCGGGTTCGCATGTGGCCACCAAGGAAAGTCGAGTCGGCAGAAATCGGCGGGCCAGTAGCCTCCAGCAAGGAGTCGGAAACAGGATCGGCATCCCGAGTCGGATCGAATCAGAATCGGAGGCCATCGAAAGCGCATCAAATCGAATCGGAGGGATCGAAATGAGCCCTGACTACCCGGCCAGCCATAACTTGGGGAGCTGTTGTCCTTACCCCCCTGGGGGAACCCATCGCATCGACGAGCTCTCGAGAGGGGTGTCGATATCGATGGGTCCCCCAGGGGGTAAGGACCACAGCTCCCCCAGTTGTGGCTGGCCTGACTACCCCATCCAACCCACCCGAAAACAGCTGTCTCGCGCGGGGCCTCCTCCCACGGAGGTACCCCCGCAGCCCTCGGCGCGGTCCCCGCTCGCCCCGCGCCAAGAGACTCCCACCAAAGGCCTGCAGAGGCAAAAGGTCAGAGCCGAGCGCCTCATCCTCCTCTTCCTCTGCCTCCATATCCTCCTCCTCCTCCTCCTCCCTCCTCCTCCTCCTCCTCTCCCCTCCTCCTCCTCCTCTCCTCTCTTCCCTCCTCTTCCTCCTCCTCCTCCCCCTCCCCATCCTCCTCCTCCTCTCCTCCTCCTCCTCCTCCTCCTCCTCCTCCATCCTCCTCCTCCTCCTCCTCCATCCTCTCCTCCTCCTCCTCCTCCTCCCCCTCCCCCTCCTCCCTCCTCCTTCCTCCTCCTCCTCCTCCTCCTCCCCTCCTCCTCCACCTCCTCCTCCTCCTCCTCCTCCTCCTCCTCCTCCTCCTCCTCCTCCTCCTCCTCCCTCCTCCTCCTCCTCTCCTCCTCCTCCTCCTCCTCCTCTCCTCCTCCTCCTCCCTCCTCCTCCTCCTCCTCCCTCTCCTCCTCCTCCTCCTCCTCCTCCTCCTCCTCCCCTCCTCCTCCTCCTCCCCCCCTCCCCCTCCTCCCTCCCCTCCCCCCCTCCTCCTCCTCCTCCTCCTCCTCCTCCTCCTCCTCCTCCTCCTCCTCCTCCTCCTCCTCCTCCTCCTCCTCCTCCCTCCCCTCCTCCTCCCTCCCTCCTCCTCCTCCTCCTCCCCCCCTCCCCCTCTCCTCCTCCTCCTCCTCCTCCTCCTCCGCTCCTCCTCCTCCTCCTCCTCCTCCACCACCTCCTCCTCCTCCTCCTCCTTCCTCCTCCTCCTCCTCCTCCTCCTTCCCCCTCCTCCTCCCTCCTCCTC